ATGCATGACTCCTATTCCTTGCCCCATTTAGATAGGTTGTATGTCAATGTTTAAAACAAACAAATAGCAAGGCGAAATTACAAGAGTAAAACAGGTATATTGCTGAAATACACTCACTGGTGATTGTATTTCTGTAAGATTTTCGGGAGATGCCGCATGTACTGGCGGAACCAGTCCCCTCATTATCTGGTTCAAACCGTTCAAACCGAGTGGCTGTCTCCACTTTTCATCGGCGCTATTTCAGATCATTTTTACTTTCATAGGGTCATGATCAGACTTCGGTTTGGTAGAATTGTCTGGTTTTGTTTGTATTAGAATTACTTGGTTGTAAGTGAAAACAATTCAACGTTGTAAACATGGCGTGAGGAGATATTTTGCACAATAAATAAGCATCAATACCATTTTTTTATGAAATCCCACTTGACCATAAGGAGCCGTAATTTAACAACATGTTTTGTCCCACAGACACGGGTGGATTGAAGTTATCTCCCTATAGTTTAACGGTTCTCCACCTTTATCATCGTTAACTTTTCTCACCTCTATACTCTAAATTTCAAATTTTTCCATGTTATCTTCGAGAGTATAAAAATTTGAATGTACATTCAACCGTTCAAACATAGGGTCCATAGCGATGCCAATACGATGACTAGAAGTACTCAGATTGATTTCTTAACTAATAAATCTCGAAATATGAGAATTTGAGACAGATACAACTAACTTAACACAACTCGACGTATAATAAATGGGATTCGTATCATATGATCTACCTAGCACAAAGGATTCATCAGTTACCAAAAATACAACAGTTTCATTCTATTGCTAGCAAATAGTATGAACTTCACCCACATATCATGCAAACATTCACTCATTACAATTCGATAATTTGAACAACGTTGAGAATTTATATCCTTTTGTACACCTGTCTATTTGTAGCATGTAACTACCAAGCTTCTACTTTAACCTAGAACATATTCCTAACAAATTTGTTTGCCAATATCATAGGTTATACCAATCTCCTTCCCCTTGATAATTTAGGACAAATACAAACTTACCAAACAGTCACATCATGTAATTTTACTTCATAATTAGGCTTAGGCTGTCCTAAGTTTTCTTCTCCAAGGATTTAAATACCTTGAACCCTGAGCGATTAAGCATCACCCCACCATTTAATTAAGGCTTTATTTGGAAAAACTCCACCCTTACACCTCTCTTGGCTTAGGAAGTCTAAAACTCCCCTGAGATTTCAGAACAGTGATTTTAATAAGGTACTTTTACCGAGGAAGAGACTCTACTGAGCTTATTGAGACATTAAAATTACACCCTATGTTGAACAGAGAAGTGTTAATTGTTTGTGACGATTTATTTTTACCCTCTGTACGCTGACAGGCGATTATGATGTTATGCCATAAAGATCATTTTGAAAGGGCACTACATGGCTAGAAATAGGATGTGTACAGATTACAGATCAGCGAATCATGATTACGGTCTTCAGAATGTAAAATTAACCCCTAGAGAAGGTATTTGATAATCATTCTGAGGATTCCATAGTTATATCCTTTGCGGTTCATTTCTTTTTCAACAAGAATGTTAGAAACTTATTGACAGTATTTCTTTAATCTCTCAATTCATAATTCGTGAGTATTTGATTGTTTAGTTTTCGATGGAAATAAAAGAGTTACAACATTCTACAATCAAGACCTAACTTTTACAAACTAGGCTAGGATATTAAAGGGTTAACGTCAATTCTTTTTGCCTAACAAGGTCTGGAAGTTTAAAGTCAAACACTTTATGCTGCTTTTAGTAACCCAGTATGTGACTTTGGTTGATCATACGAGTGATTTTATCGAAATATACATTCGGGCATTCTTTGTACATCATTACCGACTCAATTCAAGCTAGAGAATAACGGGATGAAATAAGTTAAATACGAAAAAAAATTTCGAATACGTATATCTTGTACACTCGTTGACCCGAACGTACATTCAGAACGAAAAGCGAGAAATCAAAAATGGGTGGAGAATGAGAACGATCCAACCCTATTTGTCCAAACATGACACAATATTTATAGTCTGACATGTGCTGAGTAGGATAAGCAATCCATGTGCACACTAACATATAAACAGTGAAGGTTAATACGCGAATAACTAGCAGAGTTAAGATGGGACTCAAGAAGAAAGAATCGTCTAGACGGTCCAGATTCTAGAATAACACTTGTTAGCTTGACATGACACTAAACACTCAATACTTAGAAGCTTCACACTGAAAGACTTGTAAATAGAGAAACTGGCTAGATAACACTGCTTCTCCAAAAATATTCTGCACACCACAAAAGTTTAAATTTACATGCTTGTAGTTTCATAGTTTAAATTATTGTGTGTGGTTAATATATAAGACTGCATGACTTTTCATATATTATTGTAACTTCAAAACCATGCCTGAAACCAATGTCTGACATCAAGACTTAAGCCTGAAGAAACAAATTTATCTAGAAAAGCTCATCATGAGGATATTGAAATGCTGCATAAACATAAAGCGGGATACTCGCAGGCTGCGCAACTTCAATGTCATCAGTTACTTTAGTGTCAAGTACTAGGCCATAAACAGCGTTTTGTACTGATGGATGTTGATTTGTACGCGTACTTTGGTCTCAGGGATGATTGTACGACCAAGGATATCCGGAGAGCGTATAAGAAGAAGGCAAGAGAGGCACATCCTGATAAAAATCAAGACAACCCGTTGGCAAGTATGTAGTCATACTTAGTAATTATTTCCTTAGAGGAATCATTTCAGCAACTAGCTATTTACTTTGAAATTTTGCACGATCCTGTTAAAAGGGTAGGGTTATTGTGATCTCATTCAAATTTTATTGTTTTTAATCACTTATATCTCGTTTCGACTTCGGGCTGCCTTTTAGAAACTCAATCTAATAGTCATGGGTAGCATTTTCAAATAGGCAAGCATTATTATATTCGCCATAACACATTTGATGATTTCATGAGTACATCTTGTTTCCTGTTAATGTATGTGTTGATGCGCCAGATGTAGGGGCTATCGTAACTAGGTCGTTCCAATTTTCTGCAAAAAAATATCCTTCAAGTTTTAAGACGTCACCCTGACCTGGGGGTTTATCTCACTATTTACTTTTTGTATAACATCTAGATTACTGAGATGCATGTATCAGACATTAAAATGTACGTGTATGAGTCACACTAATTTTTGTTATGTGCACTCAGGAGATAAAGAAGATGAAGTTTCATCTTTAACAACATACAATGCCAAAAGTATATCACAGTTATGATAAAGTTCCTTCTGTGTACTGTATACCATCGTCGATACCTATAAATGTCCAGTTTATATGGAAAAAACAGTTTGATGTAGACTGAAAGAGTCACCCTCGCTGAAACTCGAATCCTTGACCCTAACATTTGTGACTAAGCGCATAAGTGCTTAATTTCATGATTTATACGCCTCGAACGAGTCAAAACGGCGAGACTAAAGAACATGGACGACCTTTGAACGAATCTTAAATGACCTTGAGAAATATTAGCCAATCAGAAGACAGTTATCATACAGTAAAAATATATTATACAAAACTCAAAAATTAAAGGGGATACTTTTCTTTTACATGAATCAAAAACTTCTCAAGGTCAGATATAGGTTCAGAAGTTCTAAAATCATAGTGCATCCGGCACAGAAACTCATCCCTGTTGCTCCATAGTAGTCGACCTCTGGAACCACAATAAAGTCCCGAAAATTCTTTCAGCCTCGACCACATAGTTTCAGTGTTGTCGGTATGTTGGTATGGTTTAGGATTAGGGTTAAAGTTTAGGGTTACGGTTCAGGGTTAAAGATGAGACTATGAATTATGGACGACATTTGAGCAATGGCGAAGATGCATCCACTCTTTGTGTTCTACCAAATTCTAATCTTCTGAATTTCTCATGTCTTTATGTTTTTCTCCTTCCAAATATATTTCACTGTACTATACTCCTTCAATAACATCTTCAAACTCTAATCTTTCCGATTACTGCTTATACTCTTACTAATTCTTCCACTATGGGATTTGAATCGACAACTGCATCTGTGTGCTAATGTGGTATGGCAACTCGAACTGATGTACGTACGTACGAAGTTCTACGTTGTGACTGACTGACTGACATTTGAGCGACGCTAGAGTGAATCTGAGAGTGTCAACGTAATAACTAAGACTAAATGAGGGTTATAAACCTGTGTGAAAAATTCAAATTATGATTTACAGTTCATGGTTAAGGTTGGGAATTATACTTAGGGTTTTCATCACGAACTGACATCAGCTATAATGCCACAACTCTATCCAAATGTATAATTGAATTTTGCGCCAAAATCTTATGATAACTTATCTTGTAGACGCTTAATTATCATGTTTTCTCTAAAATCCGTTGTAAACCGACCGTACGTAAACGTCAGGTACCGAACTTAGCGCCGTGACCTTGAAAACCCTCGAAAGCTTCTGATTGGCTCGTCCATGTTCTTTAGTCTCGCCCTATATTACTTGGCTACTCAGCACTTTATCAGGTATTGTTGTGTATAAAGCCTAGTTATCGGGAATTAGGTCCGAATGATCAAATCTTAGTTTAATGCATCACTTGAACAATAAACATCTGTATATATGCTTGTATATTGGTTGTGTCAGTATAGGGTCTGGAGTTTGAAACCTTAGGGATGTAGTCAAACTCAAGGGACTGTGCCCGAGCAATCACTCTCAGTTAGTGTGTTATATCCCCCGGTGAATTACGAATGTTAACTTTTAGGTCTATTTATCGACCAATGTATTATGCATATTTCCTATTGTACAGTTGTTACGTAACTAAACTATTCATATTCGTGTTTCTCTTATCATGAGCTTTATTTTGATCTTTAATTTATTATCATACGATTCTTGAGTTATACTCAGTTATTGATTACTTTGGTTTGAATAAAAACTCAGTATGTTTGTAAATAATGATTCATACCACTGAGGCTGTTATTGGTGTTTTGGACTTAACTGGCTGGGCTAGGCAGATCACAGGACCGGTTAGCACTCTAGTCTGCTCGTACGGGTTTCGTGTCACTGTTCCAATCGATAAGTTGCTGCTCCCTGTTTGGCGGGTCTTATCGCGTCACACATCAACTAGTCGTCCACTCGGCCACAAGTATAACATAGTGACAGTAAATTCTAGTAGACCACAAACGATGAATGATATGCAGACCACCATCCCTCCTATTTCACGAGATTAGTTCATCTTCTTCACCTGCTTCTACTTTCTAGTCGAGGAAAACCCTATATATCAATTGTAAACTCAGCTTTTCTCTTATCTTCGGATAGGTATTCCCCATAAAGCAAAAAATCGCACAGTATATAACATGAGTCGTAAAAGCTCTTTTGTTTAAAATTATAGTGCAGACATAATATCGATATGATCTTCCTCTTTAAAATTCAGAATGATGGCTCACGTACTTTATTTCATTCAGGATCAAACTTAACGCTAGTTTTGTTTAAATGATTTATACACCTTATCAATTTGTGTGCTTTGCTATGTAAATTCGATACATGTCTCACGTTTCTGTTGATGGTAATCATTTCCATTAATGCATAAGGCTTTTTTAAGATATTTTTATGTTTAATGTGAATTAGAGAGAATATGATCAGAAGTGGAAGGCCAAAAGAGAGGCTATTAAAAGAATGGAATCTATGGACTCGTCGCGAAAAAAACTTAAAGAAGGTAAGTTATAAAGTCCTGTCCTTTGATTTTTGTTTTTATTGTTATATTCGTCCTGATGCGTGCCGCCTATGTAAATTTTCCTGAGTAGACTTATTTTGAAAAGTGTATATGAAGTATTTACCAAAATGTTACTTTGCTAGTCACACAGCACGACAGATTTTTCAAATCATATATAAAGCTTTTGCGGCGGCACTATAATTTATGGAAGAGTCTGATATAGGATAACTAGTCTTGGATTTTGGCGCGAAATGCATCCATCCATTTAATTAAATAAGCTTTTAGCATTTTAGCTGATGTCAGTTCGTAATGAAAACCCTAATCTAGTTCCTAACCCTAACCAGTCAGTCAGTAACAACATAGAACTTCGTATGTACATACATCAGTTCGAGTTGCCATACCACATTAGCACGGAGATGCAGTTGTCGAATCAAATCTTATAGTGGTAGAGGTAGTAAGAGTATAGGCAGTAATCTGTCATCTGTAAACCATAATCTTTATTCTTTCCACAGGTTTATAACCCTGATTTAGATCTAGTAAGCAAGTTGACACTCAAGGTCACTCTATTGTTGCTCAAAGGTCGTTCTTAAATTGTAGTCTCACCGCATTTGCTTGTATATTTAGATGTATAAACAAGTAACCTGGTACAGATGTTAATAAAATACGACGAAAATTCCTTAACCTTACTGGGTTTATTTGCAATCACCCAATGTTTGGTTGTTTAATCTTTTAATTCATTGGTGGGATATTTTTGAATTTTCTGTCAGTACGAAGTGGCTCTTGTCACTTTTTTAGTGATCAACGGCCTTTAGGACTGTTATAACAAGGGGTGGATCGGAAACCTCGCTAGTCATTTCCTTATAGTAAAGACGCATATATTACATCTTCATGCTAGACATTCCGAGTTCCCATCATCTAGTACACTTGTGTATGACATTGTTGTTATCAAATAATCAAAAGAATCGTTCAATTGGATTCAATAGATGTTTCGTATGTATTTCCCGGGTTAGCTGTGAAGTTCTCTTGATTCTTGAAGTGACGAAACTGAGTCATAACTGTTACTGTTTTCAATTAGCTGTTAGCTGACTCAGGCTTGTGATAGTATGTGGGAATCTACGTATGCACCAACTTTGTGGTAATTTTATCAACAAACTTTTGTTGCTGTTGTTTTTTCTATTCCCAAGTTAACATTTAATAAAAAAAATCAGTATAGAGAAAAAGACATAAAATATTGCTACTCAGAGGATTAATATAGCAGTTGATAAAGTTAATAAGTGATGGCATCATGTGGGATGGTAGATTAAGTGTTTATAAAACTGGTCACGTACAAATTATACCCCGACCGTTGCTGCTACTTGACGTGGTGGTCGGGCTTGCCTATCGTGACGAACCAATCGAACTATACTGGCTGGAACAACCGTACCTCAAGGTCCGAAAGCGAAGTCGTACTGCCGACTTTACAGAGGTGTGACGACAGTAAGGTGTTTCCTTCAGATAATCAGCATAACAGCGATGCTGTCTTCCCACAAGGAGGGGTGGGGTTAGAAACGGTCAACTCTAAAAATGCGCGCCTCGCCTTATTCCACGGATATCCGTCTCCGGCGGTAAGGTCCCAACAAGTACGGAGCTAACCCGTCAAAAATCCCCTACAGAAAGATCGTGTGTGACCGACCTCAAGCAGTTGTCCCTTGAGCACTGCGGTCACGCTTTGGGGTCACTAAGACCACTTCTAATCTAATTTTCTTTTCTGGTACCTCTAGAAGAACCCATCCACGGTGTGGGCAACGGAGAAGTGATAACTATCCTCATACCTCTAACAGCACTCAAGATCACTGTATTCACAGAGAAAAAGTGATATCTATAGACTTCATTGCTCAAAGTAGTTTTGATATACTGATGCAGCTATTTGTATCTGCTGTTCTGAATACTAAAGCTTGTTATTTCTTACCCTACATAACTGGAGTATAAAGTCGCTATATTTTAACGTAATTCTTACCTATACAAAATATCCGCATTCATTTTAAACTAAGAGCTAGAAGCAAGAGAAGCGGCTGCCATGGCCATGCGGAAGAGGCAGTTTGAAGCTGTAGCTAAACAACAAGCAGCCGACCAGATTCGCAGGGATTGGGAACGCCATACTGAAGAAATGAAGTGGCAAGCTGAAAGGAAACGAAAACCTACGAATGATGAAACTGACAATATAAATTTCAAATCAACTAAGTCTGATCAGGCTGTAGTGAGAGTAAGTTTTAAAACATTTCTTGAACGCCATTGATGAATTTTATGCTAATATTAAACCACTAGATTTCGTCTTTACTCCTACGAATCCTCATCAACTTAGAGTTTTGAACACACATGCTTCAAGATAATATTCTTTTTGCTCCGTTTCGTTGAGAGTCCAATCTTGGCACCTATACTGACTTCTTCTGTAGCCGACACGTTATTGTAGGTGTTATTTCTTATAGTGCACAACTACTCAGCTCACGATAAAATAAGAAAGCCACTTAGCAAGAGTGATTTTTTTGAAAGCGCACTGTGAACCAGTTGTTTTCCCTTATTCAATGATTTTATTTTGATTCAGACAAAACAAATACATTTTCAAACAATGATGCTTGTTATGGTTTTAGTTGGAAATGGTCTTGCTGCGTTTGAGTATTGAGGACAAATACTGTGACTTCGGAGGATTGCTAAAAACAAACACTATTGGGGTTAAAAGAAATTATTCTCCATTTTAGGAGTTATGATTTGTTTATTGATTACTGATGCTTGCTAAAAACCTGAGAATCCCAATTATTAAACCCTGACCAGCGTAGTTCTTAAGAGGGACGCAAAAACAAATTATTTCAATACTTTTGAGTCCGTACTAATTGTGGGCACCAGTGAAATAAGTGTTATATCTTAATAAGCCAGTGAAAAATGGATACTGTAAGCAATTATTAAACACAAGTTACTATTACTGAGTAATACAAACACCACATAACCGTTGCAGTACATTTGTGTAATACTCTAATATACTTGTTAAAGTTCGGTGTTAAAAGTAAGGAGCAATTGCAATCTACTGCCTTAAAAAAACGTACGCATATGAAAATGTTCTTACCTTTATGCTTTTGTTTACTAGTTACTATTATTTTTGTCTTAAACAGATAAAATGGGCTTACGGAGAAAACTTTCAGGCCAACGCTTGCTACACAGAATCGTTCCTAAGAACATGCTTATCAGAGGTATATTTAAAAAGTAATGACTATTGAAAAACCATCTGGTTTATCTATTTGAATTCATAAATTTTATTTCATGAGACTGGGGATTTCTAAGCCAGTGTCCGAAGTTATGAGGCATGGTGTTTAATTGTGTTAATTTTATCTTGTACCGTTTTTGTATGGGAACTTCAAGCTATGCATATATGTGCTAGGTCCTACGTTGCTTATGTTTGACTAAACGGTAGTTCATTGAAAAAGGACATGAATTAGAGAACTGTATATGGTCGCTTTCTCCGTCTATTCAACTATCATTCACTTTGGGGACTATTATTTTGTAGAGTCAGTTAACCCCGTCATACATTTCGGCAATCAGAACCCTCATCCTTACAGTTTCCTTCATATAAGCTTTAGCAGCGACGCAGTACATTACTTACATCGGACTTACATATGCTACCTAATATTTGGTAACTAGTTAGGCTCATTTGAATGTATAAATATTTTGTAGTTAGACTCTACATATGACGAAATAGGTTTCAAAACTTTATTTAGCATGTTAATTTCGTATGATATCCTTAATCATGAACGTGAATAAGATGCGTTACTCGATACGTTGCTCTCTTTAAGAAAATCACACAACACTTTCGAAATATCTCCAATACTTTACGCCCGTAGTCGAATAAAGAAGTTGTTTCCTGCCACATTCCTGTTAGTTTGCTTAGCAGAACTCAAAGGCAAGTGCAAATAAACAAGGATTTCGTCATTCAAACCATTTCCATCTGTGCGTAAGACGCATACATGCTGTAATTGGGGCTGCATTTTCCTTGTTGAATCCAAATAATATTGTAAACTTCCACTCAAACTTTAGACAGAGTTAAGCAAATTTGTTTAAACTATACTAATTTAAATATCTTCGGAAGACAAATCTTAATATAGTAAATAGTTTCCTGTGCAATTGATCTGTTTTTCAATATACACATGTATTAACTGTTGGACAATTAACTATATTATACATTGTTCAGTTAGCAGCCTTTACCACATGATGAATGAGTATCCAAACTGCTTATTACGTTTAAGAGACAGATGATATACCATTTATTAAATTATTTTCTTGAATACATTTCATTGTTATTTGTAGTTCGGTGACGTGATAGCTTTCGTTATTGGTAAGCGTGGCAGTGCCATTGCTGAGTTTTCCACCTATGATGAAGCAGTAAGTTGAGTTTTAAAGAATTTTATCCATGTTTGTTATTACGCTAGAAGATGGAATTGTTGTGTTGTGACTAAGCGTTTCGATTACCCTGTTATACACTTAATAATTGGTTCCCGTGTTCAAAGACATTGTGCCTTGATCAACCCGATAATAAAGTACTATAACTACTTCTCCGCATGTATCCCTTCTAGGGTTCTGCCGATCTCAAGCCTGAATAAAGGGGAAGGGTTGGTCATGGGGTTAGCAACCCCATCCAGTAAAAAACAACCTTGCTAAGAAAACTCTAACCTGAGTGAGTAATTTAAGTCATTTAAACTTTGTCCCCTGAGCCAAAGGATCTTTATTTTGAAAAATTACGACCCCTAATAGTGAAAGCCGAGATTCTTCAAAAGTCACGAGGGCGATGCCCCTACTAACAACCACAGCGATGATTAATATAAATACATGGAACGCCCGGATAATGTGAGAGATCGGGAGGACCAACTAAATAGCAGCAGAAATGAGGGGATACAACTTGGCCGTTCTCGGATAAGTGAAACCCATTGGACCCAAGCTTGAAATAGATTAGGTTCAGGAGAGATGCTGTTGTTCTCTGGTGACAAAGAGGAAACCGCTCCACACACTCAAGGAGCTGCTCTGGTGATGTCTAAAGAGGCACATAAAGCACGTAATGGATGGGGAGCTCATGAACCCAAGATCATTAAAGCCCCCCTCCCAACAAAGATCACAATGAATATTATCCAATGCTGTACAGTCGCCAATGATAGCAACAAAGATGATAAATATCAGTTTTATGAGAGGCTGCAATCAATCATAATGAAGTACCCAAGAAAGGACCTGGCCATCCTGATGGGATACCTAAACGCCAAAGTCATAATGGAAAACACTGGATATGAAGGTATCACGGGACAACATGGACTGAAAGAGATGAGTAATTCGCAAATTTGTGTGCATTCAACAAATTGGTTATAGGTGACACAGTATTCCCCTACAAGCGCACACAGCTACATGAGTTTCACCAAACCATACTACAGAAAACCAGATCGACCACATTTACATAATTGTCATATTCAGGGGACTCATGGAGAAGAGTAGACATAGTTTCAAATCATCACCTGAATGTAGCCAATATGAAAAAACGAAGCCATAGATAAAGTGATAAGCTCGAGGAAAAGCATTGCAAAAGCTTAATACATCCTATCTCCCAAATTCATGCATTGAGGACAGCTGACAGACGTATTCCAAGTAAGGGTCGGAGTCAGACCAGGGTGTTTACTCTCTCCCTTTCTCTTTCTTTTGGTGCTTGACTGGATTATAAAGACTTCCATATTTTAAGGGAAACACGGAATACAATGGACAGTTTAGAATCAACTAGAAGATTTGGACTTCAAAGATGACCTGGCCGTTCTATCCCATACACACCAACAAATGCAGGCGGAAACAACAAGTATAGCAGCAGCCTCTGCATCAGTAGGCCTCAACATACACAAAGGAAAAAGCAAGATTCTCAAATACAAAACAGAGAACACCAACCCAATCACATTCAATGGTAAAACTCTGGAAGTAGTGGAAACATTCATGTATCTGGGTGGCATCATCAATGAACGTGGATCTGATGCAGGCAATGATTGAATAAGCAATGACAGTATTCATACAGTTGAAGAACATATGGATCTCAAAACAACTGTCAACCAATATCAAAGTGAGAATCTTCAATACGAATAACAAGACAGTTTTATTGTACAGAACCAAAACTTGGAGAACTATCACAACTATCATCAGAAAGGTACGAGTATTTATAGACAATTGTCTACCCAAGATACTGAATGTCCGTTGGCTGGATACTACCAGCAACAACCTACTGTGACAGAGAACAGACCAGGTCCCAAATGAAGAAATTAGGAAAAGACTCTGGAGGCGAATTGAATGTACACAGCGGAAACCACCAAACTGCATCACGACACAGCCCTAACCCCTAATACTTATTTGATCTCTGACATCAATAAGTAATAATCTATATGTAAAACAACAAGAGGGGATGAGAAAGATGCCATATACAACATACAGCTAAACAATGCAGAGACTTGCATACCTCAGGAACATAAAGTTTGTAAAATAAATCATAAAATCGAATAAAGTAGATGGCACATATAGGTTTAGAAAATGAAGCTGTACAAAGCGTGCAGAAAAACGAGTTAATTACAATGTTCCTCTCCAAGTTGAGTCATTTAAAGTCTTCAAACGCTTATATTGGTTATCACATGAACACTATTCAGTTTCTGATTGACTATCAATAAACCGATGACCATTCATCAGAATACTTTTGTTAGTTCTTTCTTCTCTTTTTATATATTGTGCAACGTAGCAATTGCTTGATTTTCGAATAATTACTTTGATTATCATTAATCCTCTTCTAATTATTGATTGTTAGTTTATAACCGCTATGTCATTTTATAGTTATTACGCTATATTCGTTCCTTCTTTATTTACTAAATGTCAAAATGGGAATTTCCAGTATCATGCGTTTGTGACAAATCTTCTTGCTTCAACCAACATAGTTCTTTGACTTATGGAAAATTCAAAATATAGCCACTATAAGAAAAAGAGAATTCAGCGAAGAAAGCCACTATAATCTGAAAGTTTGCAAGTAAACTCTTCTATCTGCAGTTAATATGCTTTATGCTATAAGTAATTGGTATACAGATTAAAATAATATGTATATACTGTACCATTTATTTGAAATTAGCAAAGCTGAACCCAAAAACTGTTGACTAACATTTAGTTGGGTTGGTCTCTATTGGAATAAGATATTATAACTACCTCTATGACTAAACTCACTAAAATGGTTGGTAATTTAGTTAGTCGTGAAAACAAAATATAATCTACACTGCGTCTGAAGGGAAGACAATTATAAATTTGTTCGTAGTTAGGGGAGAAACTCATGATATCCGAAATATACTAATGAACTCAAATGTCTGGAGATAAACCATCATCTAAAATAGATTTAACAACATAACATATGTTTTTAGCCGACTAGGGAAGATTATTTTACCCATCGATCAGCCGTTATGCGGTAAAAACGATTTCCATAATACGAAAGATGTGTGAATATTATTTATTCACGTAAATTTATTTCACCAATGTAATGTAGGCCAAATCATTCCAATATCAGTAAAGGTTTTAAAATTTGTTCTTCGTTATAGAAAAAAGCAATAAAAGCATCTGAACATGGGAAAGTCGGTCTTCCAAGTTTACCCCTTCAATTATCATGGTTATCAAAAAATAACACAGATGGGATTACTGATTCAAATAACGTCAAAGATAAACAAGTGGAAAAAGATAAATTCATATATGAACCAACTCCAAGTAATAAGGTATGGTCAATTTCAATCACCCTTTAACTGGATTTCATGTTACAGTTGTTCCTGTTACTCATATTCACAGAATGTATGAATGTATTAAGTACATGTCGATTTATACTAGTATAGAGATGTTTTGTAATTAACAAGCAAAAGAATAACAACCACATCGAAAGGAATAATAGTAAAGTAACTACTAGCAATAGATAACTATGTTTTTAAATGCAAATTAATACAGAACAAAAATAAGAAGTGTGTAGAATTCACCTGTTGTAGGTTGTTTACGGAAATGGAATGTTTCCATAAGAATCTAACGACACTGTATTTTGAACAAATACATTTCACTGAGAAGTGATGTAGAGAGATAATAACGTTCATAAGTTAAAATAGTATTTGGATGTAAATTGAAATCGTCACATACATATTGAGTAGTTTAATGCAGTCGTCAGTTTAAAGTAAAACTTAAAGCGATCTTCTAGTATTATACGCAAATAAAGCGCAAAATATTTTAAATTGATGGATTTTTCCAATGTATTCATTCAGTTATATGCTGATGAACTACACTCCAGTAAACACATCTAATCGTTGGTTGTTTTTTGAAGTATGCGATGTTGAGTTGATTGCATTGTCTATTTGTTTACTTACTGACATCTAACCATAGCAAGTAAGCGATTTAAATAGAGTTAGTGAGTGTAAAAATAGTTAATAGTACGGTAAAGGGTTTTGTGAGAGAATGCTTAAGGAAAACTATGCTATGAGCTATTTAGTTGATCAGAGTTTCTATCCCTGTAGATTTAGTAGTTCTGACGATTTTAACATCTTTCAACAATATTTCTAATGTTAAGTTGTTCTTTTCACAAGTGGAGTGTCTTAAGATCCGACAGTTTGATGTATTCACTTCAAAGTGATCAACATTCTAGTCGTCTTCAATTAAAATATCACAATCCTGATTTTCGCCAGCATTGTTAATCTGTTATGTCAGCAACACAAATAAGTTACCAAAAAAGTCAGATTCTCTGAATTTATATCTTTTTAAATTATTTTTGTTCTGTAATATCAGATAGACTTTCCCTGTGTAAATCTGCTCCTGAGTAGCAAAGATAATAGTTACTCATTATAAGATTGCATCTAGCTTTCAGGATCAGTTACTGAAACATGCGCAACGGAGTCTTACAAGATAAATGTAGAGCAACGGAAGAGAATATGTAGTTCTCACAAACGTTTCTACTTGTGTATTACAATCCGTCATTGCACTTTTCTGGAGGTACTAGTGAATTAACTTTTGCGACAATTAGTATTCACAGTCCTACACTGACAGTTTGTTTAGCATAAATATTTCGATGATCCTGTTAGTTTACAAAAACTGCATTATTAAGGTAATTAATTCCTAAATGTAATATAAAGGTAGTTTTCTAGAAATTGACAGTATGTATCCTTAATTTGGAGCCCGAGTTCAAATGCACTATGGAACATAAGCTGTCTTAGGATTACAAGTACGTCCTGGTGTCGAGTACCAATTAGTACGATGCACTAATTCAGGGTTTTCTGCCTAAAATTAAGACAGTTCATGCAGCGTCTAGTTTCTAATACTAGTACCCAAATAAATATTCGATTGACAGAATACGATTATCACTATTTAGTGATCAGTTGTTTATAAGAAAAGACAAGTACATTTACATAAGTATTAGATTCCATGCTAAACAATATATTTTTTTCATTTGAAGTCTAACTTTGAAACATTCGAACAAGACATCTTATCTCGTATGGCGAACTTTGGACAATAAAACTGAAAAAAAACCGTCAGTGAGAATGTACAAAATGCTCTTTTTATTATGAATATACATCAAACCAAATCCAATAATTTTTCTGCTGTACATAGAAATTCACAATAAAAATGATCTGAATTTGCCAGGGTTTTTTTCTGAATACAATCAATTAGTCGGGTATGTGAGTCAACAGATGATCGCTTATGGACTGAAAAAAAATATAAAGTTTTTAAGTTATGAAAGATGCATATCGCTGACAAGAATTACTAATCAGCAGTAATCTTTAGTCTAATTTATAAAAATAAATTGCAAATTCAGTTTGTCAGAGTGTATCATGTATCCGTTACACTATTCTAAGAATTCTTAAGTAATGGATAAATACAAAAAAATAATAGGGTATCCGTTATTGTCAAACTACTTAAGCATAAGTAAATATATATATATATATATCAAGTTACAAAGATACTCGTCTGTATCGGTTTCAAAACACATCAAGCGATGAATACCAATAATAATTGCTGAAACAGTACAAATCGTTGGCTTATTCAGCCTTGTTTTTGACCTTATTATCATAAGAACAACTAGATATAAGAGATGATGTAGTACACCGAAGGTTCCATAGATCACTATGAAAATATGAGATTTGTTCTAGTTTCCGATAAAAGACTCATTTTTTTGTCAAATTTTAGTGCTACCAAAAAGCCCATTTAAATGGGTTACGTACATGAAAGGTACTGTCATTTAAAATTAAGTCTCTAGCATTTTATCAATTTGAAGTCTACCTAGTAAATGTATTACATGCATTTATTCATGAAATGTCCCACTTTGGACCTAATAGAAATCGAATTATACCATGTTCAAATAAAGTGAGAATGATTTCACTGTGAAACAAGTAGGAGACATTTTTTTTAGAATGGGAATAAGCTGTATTCCATGAGAATGGTAACAGTCAATACATTTATCAGGGGATGACTAGACCGATGAAAACTAGCAGCACTGTCGATGTATCGAAAGGACTATGATTGGAATTTGTAACTGTGTGACCGACTCATGGGTTGAGGGTATAATTTATAAATACCACTTGTATATTTCAGTTTACACTTGCCTTCATAGTTTGTGTTTCAGTGAATCGAACCCTGCAACGACCAGAACTCCATCCACACATTACTGTTTTATTACTTTCAAATTTAATGTGTTCATTAAGCACATGATGGATAAGGTCACGACGATCCATGAAGCCGATACCACAGTTTTCTCCATATTTTTTTCCGTACTTGAAATAGTTTTAAATAAGTAAACATACAAGTTTATGCTACATTCACACGAAACTGGTCAGATTTCACAGTTTTGATTTGAACAAAAAAATATTCAGAAAAGAAAAAGTCCAAATGTATGAACAGAGATTCAGAATTTCGGTAATATCAGCAATTAGTAGCGAAGTGAACGTAATGGGTTCGGATAATCTGGATAGAAAAACTCATTTACAGCTTAGTCAAACAAAACTTAACGCCATAACTTTCTAAATAGATTCGAGATATGGGTAGGAAGAACCTTTGGAAATAATAAAAAATTTGTGTGCTACTTATCTAGTAAACTTCAATTAACCACTAGCCACCATTAAAGGATAAAAAGCTCCAGTAGTCAAATAAGGACTTCCTATCTGGTGTTTGTATAGTATGATTTCATGATCAGACATGTCGAAAGGTGAGCAATTCATCTCAACACAATTAGTCCCAAATATAATTTGTCGTGTTTATGGTCATACCTCAAGCAACCTTATGCGTTGTAGTTAGTGACTTTTTACTTGATGTTCCTACAGATCCCCACACTACAGTTACATGGGTTCAAAAACAATTGATTTTTGTTAAGTATTCATGATTATAATACTAATTTCATTTCGCTATTAGTAGTACGGCAAACACTGTTATTTTTTCCATTCTATTTGTCAACAGATGAACTTACCCTGTTTTCGCACAACTCGGCAGATTTGTGATCAGAAAATATGCATGAACTGAGTCTTTTCACAACTCTTTATAATTATAAAATGTAGGATTGTTTTAAATCATAGTATTTCCAGCTATGAGTGGGCGGTTATTGATCTATTGTCTAAATCACTTAGCCACTATAGGACAGTAAAATACCTATTTATTGTTGGTCAACCATATGCCTTGCAGGACTTAGTGCAGTAGGAATCCATTATGAGGACGAAAAACAGCGATGAAATAAAAATATTAGTAGCAATTAAAACGAAACGTGAAAGAAACAGATGAGAAGTAGGAAACGGCATTGAAACTAAGGTTTAAAGGAAGTTAAATCATGTATTTCTGCGCGACTACAACCGAATTCAAAATAGATTGTTTAGTCACTAACCATCGTCCTACGGACTCTGAAAAAGAAGCGTAAAACGCACGATAATTCATAAAACAGTTGACCACTTTATGAACTTCATTTCTAGACTTTTTTAAATCTACTTCCACAGTAGACAGCATAGCAAACCTAGTGGTCTGTGAAGCATAAAAATTACTTATACATCAATATCGTTGTTTAGTAAAATAATGAAGATATTTTGTCATAACTCACCAAACAAACGTAATTTGAAGCTGGTTCATTGACTACGATAACAGTAACAGATCCATCTAAACTACCTGCGATTAGCTAAATACAATAGAAAAAAGTATGAGTAAAAGTCAGATGATGTTTACAACAAAGTGACATACCTCCTACATAAATTACCATATACTTTAACTAAAGAATACGACTATGTGTCATCGTTATAATCAAATATTGGTGACAAATATGTATATTCTAATCATTAAAACCAAGAGAGTGGGTAGATATCAGTTATCTTCCATAAGGAGGTATGACACATCAGTAGGTTGAATGTAGCATTTTAACAAGCATCATAAGCGAATTACACAAACATTTGTTTGGAAAAACTGCTCAGAACAACTTTACAGATTTAGCAACCAATATATAACAATGATTTCATGTAAGTCACTAACTACATTTGATGTGGAATACACTCAAAGTTTGAAAGCCGCCAATAATAAGAGACTGCTAAAATCAATGTAAGTTTGGGTGATTTTGAAGTCAGTGACTGAAAGTTAAGCGATTCAACCAATTAGCATTGTAATCAAAATAATAAGCATGTACATTTCTTGAAACTAACTTACAGTGTCTCCCACAGATGCAAGTGAAGTAACTGCTCCTCGAGTAGATATGAAGTAGACCTTTACTGGTCGTGTAATAGGCAATCCATTTGGCTACAAATGAAATTGAGAATACAAGAAAAAAGGTATACAGCTAAAGCAACTACCAGATTAATGGAAAATGCTTTCACTTCATTTATAACCATTATATTTTGTGTAAATGTAATCTTGTTTCATCTACCAGTATTCAAAATAATGTTACTTCGCTTCTATTTGCTGACTTTTGATGATGTACAATCTTGGTATGGAATTTAAAGTTTGGGACCGGCAGTAACTCTAGAAGAGCTACAGGCGGAGGAAGGCCAAAGAAAACATTACGCCGGGAAATAGAAGCAGATATGAAAAGGATGAATAACAACTGGAAAGGATTGCCCAGGACAGATTTGGATGAAGAATGCTGGTGAGCGGCCTCCACGAGGGGTAACAGGCGTAAGTAAGTAATAACATGAATGTAATGGGTTTTCTAAAATTATTAATTAATACCTTACAAGTAATTCACTACAAAATTCAGTTACTTTTCGCCAGAAAAAATGTTCTGAAAATTCTCATATTACACAAGTTAATATTTGTTTTTCATGGAGTTTATTTCGAAATCCTCTACGGCCACTTATATTAATATTTTTTTAATTCCCATATTGTGAATTAGAACAACACATATAAGCGAACAATATTGCTTTCAATTAAATCCTCATCAGATTTTACTCTAATATACAATAATATTATATGCATATACGAAATTATTAGACCAATCATGGCAGATTATAAGTCAGTGATAACAGTGGAATAGATTACATAAATAAAAATAATAAGTTTCGAATCTTACACATAGCAGAGACCATAGGAATTCAAGCTAACAGTCCAAGTCGTATTAATGAGAAAGTTGCAATATTTTGTTAAACAGAAAAGAAAGCGTTTCTATCACTAGAAGCGTGTATAGGAAAAGTGCTTCAGCAGGCCAGTACACACATTATAACAGGAACCTAGTTAGACGTATTGCAAATGGAGCCAGGAAAATGAGATCAGAAAAAAACTACAAAGGAATAGAGCTTATTCATAATAGGTTGATTGAGAACAATTATCCACAAGGTCTTATGAGGAAATACTAACATGTAATAAACGGGGAATTAGAGACACCAACGACCAGTGTGTATTTATGATTTCATCTGATTCTATGGAGAAATCTCTATCGAACGTACAACCAGATAACTGAGTCCACGAGTCAGTGAACATCGCCCTTCGTGATCAGGATAGGGTATCATCGAAACAATACGCAGCTCTGTTCCATCCCACTTGATCGATAGCGGTCATGTGGTTGTAGTGTCGGTTGCAATGTTAAGCCCACATGGCTTATTCTGGTTTCTGGACATGCCAATTTACTCATCCTTCTTGAGTCCAATTTTGACCATGTTAATTATTAGCTTATCAATCTTGACTGATTTTATATGAGCGTATGTATGTGCAAATCTGATCTTACTCATCAGATATCTGCAGCTTATTTTTGTCTGACTATAGACATTGATTAACGCTTTATTAAATCTAGTTGGCTCACACCCCTTCACTAAGCTTCATTTCGCTTCGCTCTCTTTTCTTCGCTTTGTTACTCTGATTGTCTCTTCAAACCAATGAGCGTACAAAATATACGTATTCAAAAATCCATTCTCGTATTTGACTTACTTAATTCCGTTATTCACTAACGCGACTTGAGTCGATAATTTTATACTAGGGTTGACGGTATGTATATTTTAATAACAATCAACATACGATATAACTGGAGTCAGATCTTGGGCCACTAAAAGTAGATAGAAATAGGTCATTCACGGTGATTTATCGTATTTCTACTATTTTTCCATAAGGGGTTTGATCTCAACTCTCGCACACAACAAAAGCTATAGGAATTCAAGCTAGCGATTCAAGTCTTTGTACCTATAAGAAATTTGTAACATCTTAACGTCTTCCTTGCTTGAATTAGTTTTAATAAAACGTTTCATTGATTATTATTTTTCATATTCTTTGTTAGTTTATTTTCCTTCATCCCCTTTTTTCCTTTTTTCGAAAATACGCTTCATTGTCCTATCATGTGAACACTTTTTATTGCGTAATCTTATGGTTTTTATGAGTGTTATTTCAGCATCTATAGTTTTCAAGTTATTGACCTATTTCTCATGATGAGACATGGTTCCAAGCCTTTGTTATTTTTATCACAACTAGTACACCTGTCATTACACTATCAATTTGTACTTTTTACTTATCATGTTCAGTTATGTAATTTATCACTATCTATCTATATATCATTGACTCATAAAGTGTCTTGATTGGTCTAGTAATTTTGTATATGCATATATATTAGAGTGAAATTTGATGAGGATCGAAATGAAAACAATCTTGTTTGCTTATATATATTGTTCTAATTTAGAAGATGAGCACAATGGGAAAATAGTTGACTAGGAAAAGTAATCCACCATGAATACTACATGGTTAAGGGAGTCAATATTAACCAATCAAAAAGCTTATTTAATTTTCAAAGTTTGATGTTGGTAGAACTGTGGTGTTGTCTACTTATATCCACATAAGTAGTATATGGTGTGGGTCAGACATAGAATGTATTTTCGCAGAAGACCTATGAGGAAAGAACTGAAATGAAGCGCAATCGTTTGGAAAATGCATGAGCAATGGAATTAGAGAAGAAACAGTAAAGATTGAAACAATTGGTTGTTAATTTGCAAATTGACTGTTCATTGTTTGGTTATCAGAATTTACCGAGATAGTCTGTAATGTTTGCTTAAATACATTCGATTGTCCCCAACTAGTGTTTTGTTCACTACAGAACCAATAGGAAATACTATTATTTGAGATTTAGTGGTAGGATGAATATATTAAATGAAATGCATTATTAAACCAAATCAACTTTCATCAACTGTTTCAAATTACTTGAAATTTGTAAACACGAACTGCGCCTTCTGAATCACCTACAGCAATATAGCGTTGCATTACACAAGAACTAGATATTTTATGAACATGGAAAGTCAATTCAGAGGATCCAGTCTTGAAGGTTAAAAGAAAAAGAACAATAAAATAAAAACAAGACAATTCTTGATACTATATATGATTCAACGAACAGGTAGCAATGAAAGACGAAAATTAACCAATAATTTCAACATAATTTAGTAACCAGGTTCAAGTTTCTACACTGAACTATCAGACATACTTTTAATGGTACAGTTATTGACAATATACTATCTCCGGTTCAAAGTAAGCAAAAGCGAATTCGAACCCGAATCGGAGAACCAGAAAGTCGACTCCTTTAGGTACTAAAATACAGCTTTATTAATTAATGAAACTAAAACATATTACGATACTTTGAAATACATCTCATAAACGAATGAGAAGTTGTGTAATATCAGCATTAAATAATCGTTAACCTATAGTTTTCGTGGTAATGCCCTAATGCCGACAAGACTGTTCATACTACTTCAGTATTTTCGAAGCCATTCAAAAACCAAGTTTGACAGTGAGGAAAACTGTGAAGTTCTTGTCAACTGGAAACTTCAAGAGGCACTGAAAATTGACCTCATCTTAGAATATCCTGTAACTGATACTTGAAAAAAGCTAAATCGCTCAGTTGTTTATACCTGGCAAATGTCATCATTCACTAGAGTTGATCTAAAAATTATAAATAGGTGAACCATCTAGAATGATCAAATGCTTTTATTTACCATAAAACTAGGTATCAACACTCTCGTGTTACCACCCAAAATGTTCAGAAGTTCCTGTATTTAATCAGCGTCTTCATCTACTACAACAACACCATCTGTATACCCTAGTGGATTACATTATCTAAATTGGAGAAAAAATTATAAAAAAATGAACTGGAGCTTCTTTTGTAGATATGATACCTATGACAGAAGTGAATAGGATTATACTAGTAAACAGTCTTCAGAAAGCGTGGCCTAACTGTTTAACATCTTTGCTGTGGCGAAAAATAACAAAAACACCAGCAACAGACAAAATTATTATCATTTTCGAGTTAAGAAGCATACAACAAGATTAAGTTATATCAACTGAGGTTACTGGAGTATATTCTTACGAGATACTCAAGTTTGATTGCAGTTCATGTGAAAAGCAGAATAAAGTCTCACAGTTACAAACTTAGTAGACTTCGACTCACTTCACTTGTTATAGAAATAATGTTCAAGTCATTGAGGAACTGCATGTTTAGTAGAACAACGAAAATAACATATTACTACATAAGGGCAAATTTATTCATTTTTGTTAAACATGCAATTTCTTTGATTAATTTACTAATGTTCTGCCGGATGAAAATTTTTGCAACAGAATAACTGACAATAGTCAAACATAATCTTAATTCATCCACTTTTATAATTACCTTCCAATTATAAATGCGTATGGAACGATCAGAATAGGATGAGAAGAATGAACCTTTGGGTAAACATGATATACCTTGTGGCGGTCCCTTTTGGACAGAACTCTGGATGCAACACATTAATGTACCATCGCTGGCTGAACGAATACAAATAGATCGGTCCTAAAATTTGGAATAAAAAAGATAGATGGAATAAGATTAGTTATTTAAAAGGCTGCTATTACTATGTAGAGTGACGTATTCTAAATTAACTCCCATATTTTGTTTTGGTATACAGAAGTTGGGAAAAATATCACAAGCTGCATAGTGTTACGGTAGTAATTAGAATGATAATTTATTGTTCTATTAATTCCAAATATAAGAAGTTCTAACCTCCAAAAATAAAATACACAATTCGACCTAGCTGTTCATTCGAATTAATACTCATTTAACTTACACAGAAGAAATGAAATGATCAATTACAGAGGACTTAGTCAAATTTAAAAAAAAAGAAAACTTACTAAACCAGCAACAATTAGTAGTAAAGAGGTTCCTGACTGAACAAGACACAGTGAAGTGATACCAGCCGATTCATTTGAGTCCGGAGTTTGTGATTGCTGTTTTAAACAAGTTTTTGTTTTATCATTTGGAAAATCAGATTGGTAGCAACCAGTTGTGTGTCGGCATAGAAAACCAATTGCATGTGTCCCAAGATTATAACGCAATATGTCACCATTAAAAAGGCCCAAAAATATAAATGGAACTTCAGGTGATGGGGCAACTGCTAGTGCCGCGATACGACTAGAAAAAATATTCTTATGTATCAGCAAACTGGTCTGTAGAAAAACAAAACACAAAATGAAATAGATAAGGATTATGTGGTACCTTCAGTGTCAGCAGCTCATAATTGTGAGAAATATAGAATCGACTTTCGTCACTTTAACTTGCGGTGCTGATGTGGTGCAACTGATTCAAATTTATCCCGGGCTTTGGGATGACTATGACCTACTGACTTCTGTTACAGGTTATCAATAGCAGAGTATACAATATTGTGCAATCTTGAAAAAAGTGAGCAGAATCAGTTCATTTTTAATTCAATAAAAGGTCATTTGACTATTGAACAGAATACTTCAGCATCCCTCTTGCAAACTAAATAAACCATTGTCAATGGTCCATTCAAAGGTCAAACAAGGTAGTATTTCAAGAGATGTTCGACTTCATGTATAATTTCATGTCATTACAGAAGTCACAGAAATCAAATGACGCTTCCTCTCAAAGTACAATTACGGACAGAAAAATGAAGCTTATATTCATTTGATATTGATATCCCAGTGAAAAGAAGAGGGAAGTAAATGAATGTTCTCGAAGCACTTCTTTGGATTTAATTTTACCCAGATGTGAGATTAGAATGAAAAAAAAAATATAATTCATTAAAACAACAACAATGATAAATGAAGACTACATATTTTAATAATATTTTCTATAGCAAAGGTAGAGTGTTAAATAATCAAGATAATTTGTGTCTATTTTACAAGAAAAACAGAAAACAGGAAAACCTACATAAAAATCCTTTATAGAGAAACAAATAAATAACTACTAACTTGTAGGCTGTATTCACCAAAATAATGGTCATAATAGCCAACATAAATTGATTCACCATTAGGATTTAAGCACAATTTCGTAATGCTAGCATCTCTAGGTGGAAGTTTAGATATACAGTGGTGAGTCTGTAAAGTGAGAAATAAAAATAAAAATAACAGAATAATTGATTCTAAGAATATTAATTTTGCAAAAAAGATATAAGTTTGGTACAATCAAACTCTTAGAAATTTGATTAGGTTGAAAGAAAACTCCTGAAATTTATGCTGAGGAATAAGCAGTAATGATAGTTTATCAGGAATACTGAAGTTAGTTGAAAAGCTGATAGCATTGGGTCGATAGACTGTCCCAATGCAGTCCATAATATCAATCAATAAAGTGGAAAACTGAGACCCTTACGTTAAAAACTGATCCAATTAGTAGTTTATTATTTTATTGAAAAGAAATACGAAAATCAAAAGAGGAAGTGATATGATGCATGTATTATGTACCACATATGTCAAAATAAGAGATAAGAAGAATAAATCAAACAGTTTAGCTATCAATATCTATATTAGGTGATAATGTTATTACCAAAAGAATATTAATTTTATTGACGTTTATTCCATACTAACGCTCATCAAGTGATATTTCAAAACTAAGAGTTAGTTATGTTATTTGAACACATAAACATTGGTACAAGGGGGTGCTAAATACATATGCGCCACACAAAAACAATGCGGTTGTGAAAAGATAGGGAATGTAAAGTGTGTATACGAAAAAAGGGGACAACGAAAAGAAATAAGTGTACGACAGGGAAAGAATAATAGTGGGAGAGGAGATTTACTGAGCAAAAGTACAAACAGAAAGAATTCTTCCAGGCAAAGAAGTTGCTTTTTTATGAAAAAATAAAGGGAAGTTACAGAAGGATCGCCACTGGCCTCTATTTTGATATAAGTCGCTGTGTTGCACCATCCCTAGGACCTCAACCAGGAAGTCGTGAAGAACCAACAGAAGCCAGTCCTCTAATGCTTTTTTTCGTACCACGACACCATGTCATACAATGACCACCTCTGCTTTCTGCGACCGGTCTTAACGTCGGCAAATAATACACAACGTGGAATTCATTGGGACGAAACTCGTAGGACACACCCAAGCCACCGAAGTCAGTGTTTCAAAATGGTAATACCAATTGAATTATCGTCACTGGGCCCCGAACATGCATTGCCGAATCTCTGCATTATCAAAATGATGTTGCCATGGGATATCAGCAATCCTTCGGAGACAACGATGATCAAACACAGAGAGTTGTCCAACATCCTCAACTAGAAGAGATCAGGTTTCACGAGCATAGAGCAAAACTGTTCTTTCCGACGCGTTGTAGATTCCACCTTGTACAGCTACACTAACATCACGAAGGTGACAAAGATGGTTCAGATTGGCATAAGCCCCCCTGGCTTTTACTTAACGTGAATTGGTCTCATCACTCACTCCAACACCAGCACTTATACACGATTTATCGACTACTCCTACCCGCTCACTACCCACGACGAGCGCAGGATCAGGGTCCTGCCAGTCTCGTGAAAGTGCTTTGCAATTAGAAGGTTGAAAGCACATACCATAGCTAAGGATAATGATTACCAACTAGTTAAGTGCGAATTACATGACCTGGATGTCGTCGCAATGTAAGACATTATCATCCGCATACTCAAGGTCGAGATCTCTTTCTCCAGGCAACAGATCCACACTACCGTTATCTACGTCCATCAGAGCTGTCTCCAGAACGTTATTGCTACCAAAGTTGAAGAGGAATGGTGCGATTGTACAACCCTGTCTAACCCCACTGCTTGAATGTAACAATGGGGAAAGGTGGTTGTATGTCCTCACTCTGTCTGAGGTGTTTGTGTATGGGGTTTTAAGATGTTAATAAGCCTCTCAGACACACTCTCCTTTAATACACAATCCCAGAGAACAGTCCTATCCAATGAATCGAAGGTGGCCCTAATGTCAAGAAACACTACGATTGCTGGCTTGTGATAAGTATGACGGTGTTCTAACATTGGGCGGAGGGTGAAGGTATGACCAAAACATCTTTGACCAGAACGAAAACCAGCCTGATCCTTGCAAGTCAATCTGTCTCGGGTTTTGAACAATCTACGAAGAGTGATGGAAGCCAATAGTTTGGACGCGATCAGAAGACTTATCCCTCGATAGTCGTTAGCGAAACGTCATGAACCCTTTTAAATATAAGGACGACTATTGACTCATTCCACAATTCTGGTACACTCTAATCGACAGACCTTTGTAAACAACTCAGTTAGCTTCTTAACCAGAAAGTCGCCACCATCTTTAAAAAGGTCGGAGGTAAGTCATCTGGGCCTGGTGATTTGTGACGCTTCAAGGGGTCGAGTTCCTTGAGGACTCCCACCTCATTTGGTTGATCAGTCGTTACAGGCCATGGAGGGTAGAACAGTCTGATCGATGTTGCTGAGGCAGCAGACCGGTTGCACTGCTCATCGAAAAACTGCCCGTCGTCCAAGACGTCGATAGATGTTAATGATTGGCATCCCATCGTCTTCACAGTTTGTTTCACTTACACCAGACTTCTCGCTGTCAGTGACTCGGGTGAGTTGAAAGAGCCTCCGGAAGTTACAAGACGCAGCTGCTGCTCCTAACTCGCTGGCACGTTTCGACCAGCAGGCTTCTCGGTCCTTACGCAAGCTTCGCCTAAGTTCATTACGTAACAGTCTTCGTTTGTGGTCAAACTCGCGGTCACCTGGAGTAGACTGACGGACTTCAATGAGCTGTGAGAAGCCCGAAGAAACACAGCGCTTATAAGCGGGACGTTTCGCGAAGCCACAAGCAAACTTACTCGCCATTTTGACAGTGTCACACAACTGCAACCAATGCTCATCTATACTTTTCGGTAAGCTGGTAGCTAACCTTGAACCTAGCTCGGTTTGATATTTAGTTGCAACAGAAGCCGCAACTAATTTGCTGACATTGATCCGTTTAGGATGATGAATTTACTGGCCACTGAAACGTAAGATTAAAGCAAATTATCAGAGTCCAGATAAGTAATCCAAAAGTAGCGGAAGTCTTGTACACAACCATGCCAGCGGTAGCTGATCGTGATGTGATCAATCTGAGTCAATGCTTGAGATGTAAGGGAAGGGCGCCATGTAGCACATCGTCGATGAGTGTGTCGGTAGTTAGTTCTAGCCAGGAACAGATTGTAGTATGAATGCCATATGTGGTTTTATAAAGACTGATTCGGAATTCCTATTAGTCGTCGTCATTCAATTTCCGATCATTCATTGACTTGAAAATGTTTAGATAGGACAGGATTCTCACTATGGTCTACCTGCTTTATACGTTGAATAGTAAAGGAAGTCCGAAATTGGGAATTCAAGGGAATAGATAAATGATAGTATATGAGATATAAACAAATGTTACCAAATAATTGTAAATACAATTTGTGAGAATACGAATTTGAGAGACAGTGTTTTTTCAGGTCAGACCGTCATTTGATTTGTGTAGGCCAAGGTACTGCTTGGGTCCCTAAACTGAAGCAGATGATTTTCTCTTGGTACCTGGCTGTAGCTGCTACTTTAACGTGGTGGTCAGGCTTGGTTATTTTAATGATTCAACCGAGCTATATTGTCTGGAACTCATGTTCCTTTAGGTCCTGACATGGTAGGAAAATGGATTGAATAACAGTTAAATTAGAAGCCGTAAATTAAGGTCTGATGGCGACGTCTTGCTTCTGAATACAAAAGGGTGCGAAGGCAATAAGGTTTTTTCCTCGGACAACCAACATATACAGAGAACATACACAGAACGAACTGCTGCACAGTATACTCCTTCCTTAATTGATAGACGGATATCTCGCCTTCGCTATAGGTAACGTAAGTCGGCAAAAACCAAATATGTTTTCCGAATCCTTACAGCGAATTTGTCAGACACCAATCATTGGGACTGATCAGACTTCCAAAATGTTATCAAATAATTGTTTCCGTGATTTGTCTGAATGCTAATCAAAGCGTGATTAATATTTTCAGTAGTGATCGTCACTTGATTTGTGTGTGGGTTATAGTACTGCCCGGATGCCCAAACAAAACAGGTGGTTTCCTTAGGGAGCCACACCCAGAGTCTTCGGTCTAAATGTCTGATCGACAAGGCAGTGGGGCCACATCAGGAGATGCACTCCCATGGTAACCGGTGACCAACCATTGGTTCATACGCCATTTATTCCCTCAGGATCCTAGAGCACATGTGGATTATTGGTTTGGAATCAGGGTTTTCCAACTCCCCTAGGCGGACCCTCCGTGTCCACTAACCCAGTTAAGTCTCTGGACATTTGCTCTCAATTTCGTAAACAACACCCCGCCATGAGAAGGCAGTGAGTAGGACATTCCTGACAATGGCTGTATACACGTGTCCATGTGAGAGCGTTTGGAGAGGGAGAGCTGACTTTCCCCATTCTCGGCTGTACCAGGGCATTTGGGGAATAGTCTTTGTGTAATGAAAAATAGTAATGAGACAATATATATGAAAATAGAGGAAACGAAATACATTTTATCACACAGTATATAACACATCAATATAAACTACAATTCGAAATACTCATTAAAAAAATACTCAGGTTTAGTTTCCTACTTTTAGGTCACATTCAACAATAGTACCGTTCTGTCCTCCAATATAAGCCACATTAGTAATCGGGTTTATAGCCATATCAATCACAGCAGTAGCACAGCCACCAAAAGCATGAAATTCACCTATTTTAATATTACCCTTATTGGGTAATGTTCCTGAAGATTTTGATTCTGATTTCAAAAGAGGACAACTCATGTCAGTTTCAACTTTTGCTCTAAAAGTAAATGAAATTTTCTTGTCTTTACACGTTTTCTCATGATTATCGTTACCACCATCATCATCATCATCTGATGATGATGATGTCGAAGAGGAAGAAGATATATGGGATTTATCCACTTGTTTTGGAGGTGACATGCGAAGAATCGAGGGTACGAGTGGTAAGCTTGGAGGGTCGGTAGTTTTAAATGAATCGAATGTGACGGTGCGAGTTTTTTCATTCGAGTTTATTGATTGCTCTTTAATCTTTGCTGTTGGGTAGATGACTGGCTCACCTTTTATCGGAGGTGTGATTTTATCTAAAGTAAAGAATGGAAAAAAACTAATTTATTCAGGTCTTTGGGAGAGAGCAAGTACACAGAAAGAATTCTTAGTATAACAATGAGGCTATTAAGAATAATTAGTATACCTTCGACTGTCAGTGGTAAGTCTGAAGTAGGTCTTGTTTGAGATGGGTGTCCTAACGATCCAACATTTTGATCAACTGTTTTGGCGGAAATCTTAGCTGCTGCTTGCTTTAGCATTTGATCAACTTCATCAAAGGTGAACTGCCAGCTGTTTGGCGACTGAAGAGCTTGACGTATTAAAGCTAGACGTTCTAAATCAACACCATTAGAATTTGAACTGGTAGGTATTGGATTAAATGGAACAGATAATGTTTCTTGTTGAGCTGCAGAGGCATCACTCGAAGGAACACGTGAGGTTGTAGGAACATTGAAAGTAGTTTCAGGGACTGATGGCGAGGATGTGATAGCACTTTTAGACTGGTTTAATTCTAATTATTGAAAAGACAGATGAACAGATGGAAGTTTTCGTAACATCGGGATAAAAAAGAATAAAAAGCAAACAGATCCCATTTGAACTACTCAATAAAACTCACAAACTTCTTATCTATATAAAGTTCATACACTGAAACATGTAGCTCATAAATTACAAAATAGGAAACTAAAGTTTACCTGGTTGTTGATTGCTTGTTACATCGGACGATAAACTTGACGGTATATCAATTTGTTGTTTATTTACTGCTTTTGGATTTGGCATGAAATGAGTAGGATGCGATGTTCCAACATCAGGTGTATCCAAAGGAGCTATAGAAGCAACAACTTTCACATGCGATTTTTGAATTGGTAAGGAGACATTTTGTCGTATATCGGTTGGCTCAGAACGAGAAGTATTCACGTGACTCTCAATGTCAGAGTCCGAATGATTAAGTCCTATTTTAACGAAAGGTGAAAGAAACATTTACTGGAAAAAACCTAACCGTGTGGCTACGTAAGTGATCGGAAAAGAAGATAAACAATGAATACTTGATAAAATAATCACTAGGTGAATATGATTAAGATAAGACAATTGGGTAGTCATAATGGAATTAAAAATATGACTAAATTATAAATGCACGCCAATCTGATTGTTAGATTTATGAAATAAATGCATGAACAGCATACCGCAAGATTGACAACGAATTGAGTAAAAGTTATGTGGAAAAGAAGATTGTTTAGAAGAAACGTCATTGGTTAACGTGATAATATAAACTGATGATCAGTAACAAAAGTAATTTGAAACGCTTTACAAATACACGTACTATATTTTTCGTACGAAACACAAGCCATTGGTAACCACTATATTAATGGACACAACACATTTCTGTAGCACAGAAGACAGGCTTTGCTTCTGACTTTATGATGTTGCAAACTTACACAATACATCGATACTAGTTAAATAGCACGAACCTAACCAGGTAGTCTACATCGACCAACATGGCTCAGCTAAGTGGTTTATAACTTCATGGACTGATGCGACCTTTTACCTTTTGGTTTAATTGTCCCCCAAACTACAACAGAAAACGTAGAACTAGAAAACTGCAGCGAGTAATAAGAGAGTCAAATAAACTGCATTGGTATTTCGTGCTGAAGAAAGTTTTATAATTTAGACAACTGTTAGTTTCAACGAATTCATATAAAAAACTACCAGATCAAAACCACATTTGTCAATACTGTAATAGTAATTGATATGACTGGCAGTTTGTGGTAGATATAGATTTCTGTGATTAAGATACCGAACATCTGTTTTATTTAAGAATCAAACTTATCAAATCTATATTACGAGCGACAAACGCTTCAGATAGTCATAATCTTAATAATTTGATGGGTTATAGCAATAAAAGACATCACGTGTACAAAAATAAAGAAACAACACTAGAGAAAGGTGGCTCAATGGGTAAATCATTCAACTTTCAGATGTTAAGCCACAAGTTCGAACCTAGCTTGACCTAATTGGTATGGGCAACTAGATAGTGTCAATAGCCTCCACACTTAGAATATGGCTTGAAGCTAAGTACACAAATCTGTAGCTGGTAAGAATGACAATAAAAAGCGTGAATAAATGTAGGTACAAGAAGATATCCATGACGAAGAAAAATATAATTAGTAAATGGATGTGACAATTACAACCGATTCTAAATTCTACTAACTCTATAGGTCGTCACGATTTAGTTTGGACTTAAAGACAACCCAGAAGAAAGTAAACAACTCCACCAAAATTTTTCGACGTCTACTACAGTCCACCTGGATAGGACCCAATAAAGAATCCCAGGGTCTTGATGACTGGTCAAAGACAACAATGGAGATTACCAAATATCATCTAATAAATATTTTTCACATAAAACCCCAAACACTGGATTATTACATATGCCTCATGGTTAGACAAAATCTCGGAAATCAGTTACGGCTATGTTATAGAAGAAATTTTTCGATGATCCGACGAATGAATCGTCGATTGTTAAGATCGACGTATAAAAGGTTAAGCGACAGATAAACGAAACGGTATATAGTAGTAAAATAATTGTTATACTATTTATTTATCTATTTGAACACATAAATATTGGTAGAAAGGGGCACCAAATAAATATGCGCCACACAAATCATCCGATTTATGTGTGGGTTATAGTACTGCCCGGATGCCCAAACAAAACAGGTGGTTTCCTTAGGGAGCCACACCCAGAGTCTTCGGTCTAAATGTCTGATCGACAAGGCAGTGGGGCCACATCAGGAGATGCACTCCCATGGTAACCGGTGACCAACCATTGGTTCATACGCCATTTATTCCCTCAGGATCCTAGAGCACATGTGGATTATTGGTTTGGAATCAGGGTTTTCCAACTCCCCTAGGCGGACCCTCCGTGTCCACTAACCCAGTTAAGTCTCTGGACATTTGCTCTCAATTTCGTAAACAACACCCCGCCATGAGAAGGCAGTGAGTAGGACATTCCTGACAATGGCTGTATACACGTGTCCATGTGAGAGCGTTTGGAGAGGGAGAGCTGACTTTCCCCATTCTCGGCCATACCAGGGCATTCGGGGGCGATTGCTATTCACGAAAGTGAATTATTGATGTAGGCCCCAAACGATCAGAAATCAAAGACAAGATCACTAGCCAGATGAATCACCTTTCAAGAAATAAAGTGACCGGCTTATGGTACAGAACAAGTATGATAAAATAGCATAATTATGTCACTCATTTTCCTTTTAATTAAGATCCGACTATTAGGTCTAATCGTTTGATATCGTATCAAATGCGCATTATTAAGATGATACATAAATTCATGGCACATAGTGGTAGGATTATTCACCAACTGACAAACAATACTTTATTGATGTACTCTAATTAGAACGGCACCGTTATTATTTTTGCTTGAGAAATTCTTGAAGAAATGAGACAATCGATAAAAATAAGTATTACTAAGAAACTGTCATTTTGTTTGTTTAAACATAGAAATTATTGGTTCATTTCACAGAACCAGATGTGCATTTAAATAAATTAGCAATATGATCACACTCAGAAAAAAATCCAAAACATACCTTGTAGTAGATTGGATCGTTCCTGTTTCAACTCACGCCTTTTAGCTTTGACCTAAATTAAAATGTAAAAATTTGGATTAAGAGCAAGGAAATAGATGTATAAAACAACTGGAATATTGTCATATGTAGTCATAAACAGACAATCGTCGAAGGCAAGCGTACCTTAAATCATATTCAGATCACAACTTATTGCTTAACTTCCATAACACTACTTATTATTCACAACTCAATAACTTTCTTGCTACATTGTCTTTTTCTACGATTTCCTTTCATATGCCATACCGAAACCAAGCATGAATATTAAAAAGTAGGGTCGTAACAAAAATTAAGTAGTGATGAGAGCAATGTAGAGATAAACTAGAATGAAATGAATGTAACATAAAATTTTACAAAACGCTCATATATGACAATTAGTGGTCTTCCCACCTAATGTCTTGATTAAAGTCAAGGTTAGACCATCTTCATATGGGAAAAAATATAATTGACTTAGTAATACCGTTTTTTTAAGTAACTTTAATAAAATATCATTATATATATCGATCAATTACAGTATGATTATAGAGCTAAAAAACGACTTGGATATTACAAGCTGAACATAGTAAAAGTTATTTATTTATTTATTTATTTAAACACATATATATTGGTACAAAAGGGCACCAGGTACATATGCGCCACACAAAATAATGAAAGTAGGAAGAGAAGGGATGAAAAGATAAGGCGGACTAAAATGTACAACCAGAAGACTCTTTCAAATAGGAAAGTAAGAACCATACTTTATGTAGAAAGTAAAAGAAGGTTGCAGCAGGATCGCCACTGGTTTCTATTCTGAGCCATATCTGATAACGTCTCTAGCCACTGTGTTGCACCATCTCTCGGACCCCAACCAAGGAGTCGTGAAGGACCAACAGAAGCTAGCCCTTTGCAGCTTTCTTTCATGCCACGACACCATGTCATACACTGACCTCCTCTCCGCTTTTTCCAACCAGTCCCAGGGTCGGCAAATAATGCACGACGTGGAAGTCTCTGGGACGACATTCGTAAAACATGTCCAAGCCACCGAAGTCGGTGTTTCAAGATGGTGACACCAATTGAATTATCGTCTCTGTGCCCGAACACACGATGCCGAACCTCTGCATTACTAACATGGTGTTGCCACTGGATGTCAGCAATCCTTCGGAGACAACGATGATCGAACACAGAGAGACTTCTAACATCCTCAACTCGGAGAGGCCAGGTTTCACAAGCATAGAGCAAAACTGCTCTCACCGACGCGTTGTAAATCCGACTTTTTACAGCCAGACTAACATCACGAAGGCGCCAAAGATGGCCCAGATTGGCATAAGCCGATCTGGCTTTCCTTATACGTGCATCAATCTCATCACTCACGCCACCACCAGCACTTATATAGCTACCTAGATACACGAACTTCTCAACTACTTCGATCTGCTCACCATCCAGGGTGAGTACAGGATTAGAATCCTGCCAGTCTTGTAGAAGTACTTTGCACTTCGAGGGTGCAAAGCACATGCCGTACCTGCGGACACTGATTGCCAACTGATTAAGTGCTGATTGCATGCCTTGGGCATTATCGCACAGTAAGACAATATCATCCGCATACTCAAGGTCGAGAAGTCGTTCTCCAGGCAACATATCCACACCGCCATTACTTACATCCATCAGAGCTGTTTCCAAGATGTCGTCGATGGCAAAGTTGAAGAGGAATGGTGAGATCGGGCAACCCTGCCTAACCCCACTGCTCGAATGGAACAAGGGAGAAAGGTGGTTGTATGCCCTCACTCTGCCTGAGGTGTTCGTGTACAGGGCCTTTAAGATGTTAATGAACTTCTCAGGCACACCCTTCTTCAATAGACAATCCCAGAGAACAGTCCTGTCCAACGAATCGAAGGCCGCCCTGATATCAAGAAACACTACGATTGTTGGCCTGCGATAAGTATAACGGTGTTCTAACATTTGGCGGAGGGTGAAGATGTGATCAATGCATCCTTGACCAGAACGAAAACCAGCCTGCTCCTCGCGAGTCAATCGTTCTCGGGTTTTAAACAACCTACGAAGAATGATAGAAGCCAATAGTTTGGACGCAATCGGAAGTAGACTTATCCCCCGATAGTTATTGCAGGAACAACGCGAACCCTTTTTAAAGATAGGGACGACTATTGACTCATTCCATGATGTTGGAACACTTTCTTGCTCCCAAACCTTTCCAAACAACACAGTCAATTCCTTAGTCAGAAAGTCGCCACCATCTTTAAAAAGAGCCGGAGGTAAGTCATCTGGGCCAGGTGATTTGTAGCGCTTCAAGAGTTGGAGTTCCTTGCGGACTTCCGCCTCGTTTGGTGGATCAGTCGTCACCGGCCATGGGGGGCAGGACAAGCTGGTTGATGTTGCCGGAGCAGCAGGCCAGTTGAACTGCCCTTCGAAAAATTCCGCCCATCGTCCAAGACGTCGGGAGATGTTAGTGATTGGCATCCCATCATCCTCGTAGATTGTTTCACTCACACCAGACTTCTTGCTGCCAGTGGCTCGGATGAGTTGGAAGAACTTCCGGCAGTTACCAGATGCAGCTGCTGCTTCCATCTCATTAGCACGCTCCGACCACCAGGCTTCTCGATCCTTACGCAAGCTTTGCCCAATTTCATTACGTAACAGCCTTCGTTTGTGGTCAAACTCACGGTCACCCGGAGTAGACCGACGGGCTTCCATCAGTTGTAAGGAGCCAGAAGAAACCCAGTGCTTGTAAGCGGGACGTTTCGCGAAGCCGCAAGCGGCTTTACTCGCCATTTTCATGGCGTCGTGAAGATGCAACCAATGCTCATCTATACTTTTCGGTGGGATGGTAGCTAGCCTAGAGGCTAGCTCCGCTCGATACTTACTTGCAACAGATGTTGCAGCCAGTTTACTAATATCAATCCGTTGGTGGTGGTCAATCCTTCGGCCACTGAAAAGTAAGGTGAGATTGGCGCAGACCAGGGCATGATCAGACTCCAGATAGGTACTCCAAAAGGAGCGGCAGTCTTGTACACAACCACGCCAGCGGTAGCTGATCGCGATGTGATCAATCTGAGTCCAGGCTTGGGATGCAGAGGGAGGACGCCAGGTGGCACACCGGCGATGACTGTGCCGGAAGTTGGTGCTGGCCAGAAACAGGTTGTGGTCTGTGCACAGTTGCAGCAAACGGTCCCCGTTATCTGTCCTGCGACCAACAAATCCCCATCGGCCACCTAAACGACTCTCTTCTGTGCCTAGACGCCCGACCTGAGCATTCAAGTCTCCAGCTAATACTACAATATCTGTCGAACGCGCTTTCTGGAGAAGAACTGTTAACTGGTGGTAAAACTCATCCTTGATTGCATCCGGGCTGCAATCTGTCGGAGCATAGGCGGAGATGACGAAAAGACACCGTTTCTCACGCCGGTTTCTTCTCACTTTGATGGAACTTTCTAATCTAACAGCACATAACCGACTGTTAATGGGGATCCAATCGATTAGTGCTGCCTCAGCTCTAGCGCTTAGTGCAACACCAACGCCTGCAAGACCAGACGAAGATGCCACAGAGTCTCCGGATAAGCGCACGTGAAACAAGCTTTTCGAAGCGACAGATGGAGAGCGGATTTGTAGTACTTCACTAGGGTCTTGAATACGGGTCTCGGATAGACAGCAAACATCAACATTAAGGCTTTCTAAAGACATAGCCAGCCCCATCTGTTGTCCGATCTGCATTAGTGTGCGAACGTTGAAGGAAGCCAGCTTGAACGGTGTACGCGGTTTCAGAAAGACTGCTTCAGTATTCATTATCGGTGGAAGCATTCACTTTCAACCAGACAGTGACTGGAGATCGTTTAGATAGGACAGAGTTTCCACCATGGGCGAGCTACTGCATAAGTTGGAAAGGAAGGGTACACAATTTGGGAATAAAGGGAGTGAAAAAGCGACGTAGTAAATAATAGTAATAATAATAATAGTAATAACAATAATAATAATAATAATAATAATAATAATAATAATAATAATGTAAATTGTCTTGCTTATAATATGAGCAGGAATAGAATCGTCAACAGAGTTCATCATTTCATTCAATTGTGTGTGGGCTGTGATACTGCCCGGGTGCCCAAACCGAAGCAGGTGGTTTTCTTAGGGGACCACACCCCGAGCCTTTGACCTAAAGGTCTGATCCACAAGGCAGTGGAGCATCGTGAGGAGATGCAGTCCCATGGTAGCCGTTGACCAATGACAGGTTCTTCCGCCATTCGTTCCATCAGGATACTGGAGCCCATGTGCACCATTGGTTTGGAATCAGGGTTTTCCAACTCCCCTAGGTGGACCCTCCGTGTCCACCAATCCGGTTATAGCGCCGGACATTCGCTTTCCGTCCTCTCACTTTCGTAAACAACACCCCTGCCACGAGAAGGCAGTGAGTAGGACTTCCCTGGCAGAGGCTATATATTCGCTGGCCATATGAGAGCATTTCGAGAGGGAGAGTAGACTCTCTCCACTCTCGGCCGTACCAGGGCATTTGGGGGCTAGTAAAAGTTAAGTTCAAGCTTATCTATTTCTTTTCAATTTAAATATATGCGGCAGATAATTTCCTAGTAGTTATAACTTACAAACAAGTAAAATTTTAAATCTTTAGAAAAAGCCACAAAAATACTGAAGAACGATAAATTTGTTTAGATGTGAAATGAAAGACATTTCGCTTTTATAGTTCGTCTTTTTATAATATAGACAGCCAGTAAAGTTTGACCGGAAAATCTTTTCCTAAGAAGAGAATACAATTGAAGTGTGAAGGTAGTTAGATACTAATTTTGAGAAATCCCAAACTATTCTCATATTAAAAATATTATACACTGGCGTCGCGAAAAATAATAAAACTGAGCAAACAGATAGAAGAGTCTGAGTTCCTCAAAGTAATTTTATCATCTGAACTAAACTCTGAAAATAATAATACTAAATGAAGCGTTGATGTGTTCTGTTTACCTTAACGCATTTAAAGAGGAAGAAATATCACATAAAGGTGATAATTTGTGTGACACTACTTCTGTTGAGTTTAACTTTAAGGTCCAGTTCACAGTAGAATAGATTAGAACTCAGATTTCATTTCCGTGAAGTTATAAAGTAGAGACGACTCAGATATTATGATTAAAGCTCAATACTTCGACTGCTGAAACAATGGAAATAGGCATTTTATAGTGCGACAGTAAAACACAGTTGTCCCGTTTTACTACGGAAAAATTCGACACTTAGTATACATATTATCTGTAAAATTACATAAACAACACGATTGTAAAGAAGCAATTGATCTGGACCCAGAATGAGATAAAAACTGTAACTAAGATACACAATAAAAACTTTGATAAGATATATGCAACTAACACTCACCAAATTTAACTCAGTTTCAGTAGTCCGTAATTTTTCCTCCAGTTCATCTTGTTTGATTTTAAGTGACTGAAGTTCTTGAGAAATTATTAATGCTTTCTCCATACACTGGAGTTCTCCAGTTTTATTTGTGTCTTCGTTAGGAGGTTGAATTGTAATTGGTTTTATAGAGGTTGGTAGGCACTCAAGTGTTTCGGGGTAAACAGGGGAATAAGTCTCCCGTCCATATTTCATTTTTTTAGAATCACAACGGTTGGAACTAGTAGATTTACTTACTTTGTAGCGTGATTCATTAGTCAACCGTTTTGATACACTCTGATGTTTACCTTTAGAGTTAATAGTGGTTATCTTTTGAGTTTGCTTCTCTTGCTTACGTGTATTTACTGAATCTTTATCAATAGTTTCTAACTGAAAAGAGAGAATAGATGTAACAAGAGTGACCTAAGCACAACAAGAATTCAACTTGAATCAGAAATTGTCATTACTTTGTCATAAAAATATGCAACGGAAATTATAATTGAGTGCAGCTGACACTTAACAATTACACTAAGGAAATTACTTACAATGTTTAACATCATCCCACCCTCATGAACATCAGAACAGTTTGAAATTTTTGATTTCTTAGATAACTGAGTAGAAGAAATATTTCTATTACATTTGTTATGTGATGATTGAAAGGTATCAGACGAACGTTTCCCATTGTGTGTGCGAAAACCGTTGCTGACTAGGTCAGATTTTTGACCTGATTAAAGCAAAAGCATCGTAGAACTTTAGAAAATTGCAGTTTTAAAGGCTGTAATCTTAAATTAGATCAGCAATTGGTCATAATTAACGCACAACCTAGCAAATATGTCCCTACTGAAGCTCAGGATTTAGAAAATAAATTGAATGCTTCTATTCCACTGACCAACATCGTCCAACATGTGACAGTTATATACTGATGGGAAATAAACTAGTAAACGATAAAATTTAAAATTTGCAGGTATGTATTTGTAAAGTGAGTTACTCACTCTTTTGAATTATGACTTGCGTGGAAATAGTGACATTTGAGGTTCCTAAACCGTAATATGCACTTCCCTAAGATCATACTTAGAGTCCTAGATCTAAAATCACAATCTACAAGTTGACGGATCTACGTAGGATATATCCCTTTTTTGAACTTATTCACCATGTACCTAGTTCTGAGTCACGCTTCCCATATGAAAGCTAGTGATATTACTCGGTTGCCTAAATCGAAGTAGGTGGAGCCGAGTTTCAACCTGGAACATACTGACTAAAAGCCAGACGCATTTACAACTTTTATTTAGTTAAACATAAATATTGGTGGGAAGGGGCACCAAATAAATATGCGCCACACAAATCATCCGATTTATGTGTGGGTTATAGTACTGCCCGGATGCCCAAACAAAACAGGTGGTTTCCTTAGGGAGCCACACCCAGAGTCTTCGGTCTAAATGTCTGATCGACAGGGCAGTGAGGCCACATCAGGAGATGTACTCCCATGGTAACCAGTGACCAACCATTGGTTCATACGCCATTTATTCCCTCAGGATCCTAGAGCACATGTGGACTATTAGCCTCGAATTATTCCGACTATTTTAGTACTCATGTCAATTTTATATCGCTATGGCGATATGCTGTTTCAGCTTATGACGATGCCGAGAATTGTATTAGATGCCCCAAAACGACCTGGTACAGCAGAGAATGGTGAGAGTCCATTCGCCCTCTCCAAACGCTCTCACATGGACACGTGTATACAGCCATTGTCAGGAATGTCCTACTCACTGCCTTCTCATGGCGGGGTGTTGTTTACGAAATTGAGAGCAAATGTCCAGAGACTTAACTGGGTTAGTGGACACGGAGGGTCCGCCTAGGGGAGTTGGAAAACCCTGATTCCAAACCAATAATCCACATGTGCTCTAGGATCCTGAGGGAATAAATGGCGTATGAACCAATGGTTGGTCACCGGTTACCATGGGAGTGCATCTCCTGATGTGGCCCCATTGCCCTGTCGATCAGACATTTAGACCGAAGACTCTGGGTGTGACTCCCTAAGGAAACCACCTGTTTTGTTTGGGCATCCGGGCAGTACTATAACCCACACATAAATCGGATGATTTGTGTGGCGCATATTTATTTGGTGCCCCTTTCTACCAATATTTATGTGTTCAAATAAATAAGTTGGATAAGGCTAAATGAGTGCAGCTTTGTTTATTTCCGGTATAGGATTAAGATTTACAGACTTGTTTAGTTGGATATTCTTAATGTACTCAACGCCAAATATCTATTCTTGCCACCCGACTTCTATGAACAAGCCTATTTGTATGCAGTGAGAACAATTTCTCAGGAAGGAATATAAACGTAGTTTATACAACAGTTTTGAGACGAAGAGGAGACTTCTCTTACAGATCTCCCATGTTATCTTTCGGGTAATGCAATTGCGAGACCCTTAAGAGAAATACGGTATAACGGAACATTTTGTTATCATTTCTGAACATGAGGTATAAATATTACGAGATGTTAGGCAAGTATATAATAAAGGTAAAATTAACTAACACAAAGAAACCTACATGTTTTAGGTTCGCGACTAGACTGAACTGGTTCTTGTACTAACACAGTTTTGGGGCTATAAAATAGTATCCAAACAATAACAATTAGACAGTCAAAACAAGTTAATTTAAATTTGAGTACTTTGATATAGATAACAATGATGCTCAATCACAAGGAAAACACGAATTCAATATTCTTTGAATCTCGAAAGGCAATCACAAGCAGTTTCGAAATCGCCAGTTACAAAATAGCCATTAACTATTTTTTGTTTACTCATAATATGTAAGTCAATTTTGATACTCTTGATCACCGGAAAATGATATTCGAGGTTACTGTGAAGTGCCACCACCGCTTTTAAAGTGGTTAGAAGAATCTAGGTCTTTAAAGTATCTGCTTTCACATAACAAAAGACACTCCAACCCAAATTTTGTACTATATGTTAGACAGTTCATGTAACAGCAACTTCTATTGGGTTAAACATTGACGAAATGTTGGTGAGACTATGAAATATGGACGACTTTTACACAACACCAAAGTGACCTTGAAAATGCCCACCTATTTACTAAAGCCAAATGAGGGTTATGAACCTGTGGGAAGAATAGAGATAATGATTTGCAGTTGATGGTTAGGGTGAGGCATTAGATTGGGTTTTTCATCACGAACGAAAATCAGCTAAATGCGAAAACTCTATCTGATCAAATGAGTGAGCGAATCCCGTGCCAAAATTCAAGACCTGTTAACCTAAATCTGATTGACTCGTCCACATACTATAGTCTCGCCGAAATTTTTAGCCAGAATGGCGCCCATAGCATTACCGATACGAACAATAGCACTATTCACTGATTTTTGTGGGAAAACATCCATGTAAGGTACAACAAGATTCAGGTATATACTATATATTCAGGTATATAAGATTCAAGATATACTACTTAAAATTCTAGTAATTGGTCATATGGTTCATCGATGGTTGACTCAGTGGCTGAGCAAAATGCTACCGCTATCATGGTATCTGTATGTTAGGCCACAATCTTTCACACTACGGAAAGATTCCTCCAAAAGTCAATCTCTGTGAGTGAACTTTGTAATACAGAGAGGACATACATTAGTGGGTTCTATATTAATGAAGTCAACAAAATTCCACTCGTCGTTAGACTACGTACCCAACCTTTGAAAAGTTATTCGCAAAAGCACGCTGTAATTACCCATGAATTCTCTTAAAAACTCAATTCTGAAAAACTATTGGTGCTTGATAAAAAGTAGGACTCACTCAGCTCCATAAAATTCATAGAAATACTTCAAATTTGCTTTATGACGAGAATTCTGTGTGTGGTTGATCCAGCACTTATAGCCCTGTATGTTTCCACAATAGCATATAGAACAAAAATGAGATCTAAACTTAAATAAGACTAGATTTATACTAACGGTTGCCGTCCATAATTGAACTCATTTTCCTCAAACTTTTTGTGGTGCTTTTCACTAATGTCATGTTCATAACTTTCCTGTTAAAAAATATCGACCAGAATAAATGCTGTATACCTGTTCTGTTTTAAATGAAAGATCACAAAGCTCACAGGTGTACATCACTAGTACCGAGTAATTTTAAAACCCCGCTCATCACAATTTGAACGTAATATTGTCTGTAAAATGGTCAGTTTCTGTGATTGATTTCGAACTAAATTAGTTACTAGAAACACTTGAATGTACTTTCAGTTGCGTTGGTCAAGTGAACTCTACGAATATTTTTCTGTCTTTTGTCTTAAGAGATTCTGTCCAAACTTTGAAAAAATCTGTCAGCTATCCATTCATAGGTCCCAACATTGTGCACGCATATGTCAATGATATCTAACTGCAGGTCTGGATAAGAAATACTATCATCAGCATCTGGGCGTTACTTTTGAACGGCTTCAAAAACGCGGCGCTAATCCAAACATTAAGAATAACCGAATCGTAATTAACTCTTTCATTTTTCGTGGCCATAATATCGATACTCCTCTCGAAAATAAAATGATAGTTATTTTGGTGTACTTAGAACCAACTTTATTCCGTAAATTACGCACATTTGACCGCATAGTAAGTTCTGATCTACGATTCGTGCTGAATTGCACGTCACTCATGAGAACATTGACAGAACAATTTCATGGGAAGTCATATTGTACTATTTGTGATCTAGTGTGAGGGTAGCACCTTCGACAGTGAAGGATAGGATCGCCAAGTCAACTATCCCTGGACGCCTCAATAAGAAAACACAATCGCTACAGACACGTCCGACTCGGCAATCAGAGAATTCTTGCAGCAACCGGTGAAAAGTACTTGGAAACCTTTGGGATTCATCTCGATATGGGTGCGGGACAGTAAGCAGATATGCAGCGCTTTCCGGAGAGACTTTTCAGCTTTACAAGTTGATATACGGTCCTGTTAACTCCCAGTTGAAGACCAAGTATCCAGTCACCTAGCTGACCCTAAAACTACAACTTCTTCTCTTAGGTCTTCATCAAACAAGTACTCTCTCCATGAGTCTCCATAAATGAACTTCATTTGCAATTCGCTACAGATGTGCAGCATATTTCCGATTCGAACGATGCAGTCACAGATGCCTTGTTTCGTATAACTTCTTCGGAAAATTTGTAGGTAATCGGCGTACTCAAACTCGTTCAGCTTCAAAAAGAAACCATTGATCTTCAGCACGAATTGTTGTCGACAATCTTAAAAATAAAAGGGAAAAGGAAGTGTACTTTACGATGTAACATATCTAGAAGTTGTGGTCACTCACTTGTGCCGAAGCATCATCAGCGCAATGTCTTCAATACGTCGTACGATCGTACTCATTTAAATATTTGAGCGAGCATCAACTTGATCGCAGTATGATTTTGCTGACCTTGATAAGATAAGGACGTAAAGAAGTGAGGCACGTTTTGGTGTGAGCTCTCAGCAATCAAGTATGATTGGACGCAATCAATTTCCCTTCCACTTTGTCGTAATTCCGGACGCTTGTTCCACACGTGTTCATCTTGATTTGGTAGGATTCCAACCTGGTTCAAATGGATGCTCCTATGTACTAAATAGAATGGGGTCAGGCCGTTTTTATTCTTGAGTGTACATTTGCCGAATGACACTGAGAGGCGTTTGCGAATTGGAGGAATATCAGTTGATATAACTCACTTTAAAAGAGCCGTCAAATTGACAAATACAAAACGAACTGGCTGCATTGAGTAATCCAACCTCAAAGTGATGATCGGACCCGTAGATAAAAATAATTAGAGTATCCTTGCATTACTGGTCATTTAGATTGCTCCTTGCGATTTAGGAATAGCCACTTCGCTGGGTGCATCACATTTGAAATGTATAAATTGAGAAGTTTGGTCACAAGAATTATATTTGCCTCACTTTTCTCACCAAATATTTGTTTGAAAACTTTCTGGGATACGTAGTCACATTTGAAGTGCAACACCGTGAATTCGCTTCTTCCACAGCTGCGTCTACGAAGTTTATAGCTTCGACTACATACTCGAATGCCTTAACAACATCTTTTATATATCACAGGAGACCAAACTAGTTAAATTTGTGCATCGGCCAGTTCCTAACCCCTTCATGCTTGAGTTTCCTCTAAAAGACCTAAATTTTTTTGTTTATAAGTCGCCTAAAAGACAACTCTTCACCAATTTTCTTCATCTGCTGTGAACTTCCTTGATAGGTGAGCCTAACTGGATTCTTCAATATTCTCATGAGGTCATTGTGGACCATACAAATAAAAAGCGTATTGTACATATGTCTAAATTGGAATGAAAACTTGTCAGTACTCAGTTTTCTAGTATAGTTGGAAAGATATCGGTCAATATGTTACATAATGATCAATGACCTAAGGCACCATCAATTTACCGATATATTTCCTCATTAGTACTGAATTTTACGTCATTAATAGGCCTCAGTAGTAACTTTCTAATAATACCAACAAGAATTATACCTTCTACTTTTTGATCTCTCAAATGTGTATTTAAAGGTATCTATGGGTAATACATTCATAAAAAATGATATTACACTTAAAATATCGCCGCTTGTTCCTTAATGTTTACGCTTTTAGTATTGTCAGCATACTGAAAAAATAATAACAATAAGTTATACAAGAATAACAATGATTTCACCTGCTGTACCAATTTAAAGGCGAGATCAAAATGTTACAAATGTTGTAGGATTCACCATGACAAGTCTCTTAGGCAGATACGTAACAAAACACAGTTATAAGGGAGGAGAGAAGCAAATGTTAGTCGTTAAGAATATGTTTGTTGGTTAAACTGGAGTATCCTATATACGGGTAGACCTGTAGAATTATGATCTATGTCATTATCAGTACTGCTACAACAATGGACCTAATCCTAAAATTGTAGATTTGCCGTGATGTAACTGCCCAATCTATGAAATCATAAGTGGAAGTCACATCATTTTCTGCATTGACTCATCGTATCGTAACAATCACCAGAATATGATGAAGGACATATAATGCTGGAGATACAACAACACATTTATTATGAATATAGTGATGAGTCACACAAGAATGACCACGCCTGCAACGCCGAGCTATGCCGTCCTGTGAATTGGATTTCTAATTAATGTTCACGTGTTCGCCATTATTGACCTTTTCTTAGTGATACGTGTTGAAAGCTTATTTTCTCAGTTATCTCATGCCCAGCTTTTAGGACTGTGATTAGGGACCAATGCCAATACAGACGCGCCTTACGTGGACTGAAAATAAATGAACAACTAGAAACCAGGGTATAAAGCAAAATCGGTCCAGAGCTCTTTACGACACAGTCATTTGACAAATACATAACTGTTCGGTCGAAAACATCAGTTTTCATGCATCACAATTTGCAAAAATCCGCTCAGAACACACACAAGGAGCTTCCCGGTGAAAGAATTATCAATCATTCTGACATATCTGAGGAATCAAAAAAGTGTCCCAGCGTTCTTATCGGTGAAATAGTGTCCAGCATTGCAATAAAAAACTCCCCAGGATCCTTCTTATGCGGCTTACGGAGGTCTGCGTAATGCGTCGCATCGTAAGAAAGCGTGTGTTAAGTTTTAAGTCTGGTTGGATGAAGACAACAGTTGACTGATGTCAAACGAAAACAAAACGGATAGCGTTTGTAAGCTCGTTTGTGCAGTTCTGAACCACATTCATTGAAGAAGGCGGACAGTTCACGAATTTTCCTGGAAATCGAAGCGTCGACTGCAACGAACCCGACGTCAACCATACTGAACAGAATATTCCAAGCAACACAAGTGTAAAGATGTCAGTACAATGGGTTACGATTAAAGCTCAAAGTAAAATTTCTCAAATTATCGTTGAAATCGTTCCACCGAATCGTAAACTTGTGGTAGGTAGATGGTTGTTTGGGGTCCTATGGTTTCTAGTAGTTTGTCAAAACAACGGGAAAGCACATATTTCAACGGACATCCATGGTCGGTATGTTAGTGAAAGGAGAGCCAGAGTTTGTTGGTCACTGCTCGGCGGATCCGCGGTCCACCAATGCAGTAGTATTCACTTTGATAAGTACAACTACTGGCAGCCAACAGAGTTGTTCATTCACATTAAGAAGTGAGATATCCATTTGAATACAGTTAGAGTCCTATCAAATCAAGACGAACATGATTGGAAAGAGCTCCCAGAGCTGCAATAAAACACAATGGAAAATCACTCGTTTAACAGATCCCACCCGTTGATGCTACCTTGACTTAGAGGTCAGGCTTGGTCATTGTGATAAACTAACCGAGCTATACTGGCCGGAACAGTAATTCCTAAATGCTAGTCTTTCCCTCAGGCAACCAGCATAGCAGCGATGCTGCCTTCTTACAAGGAAGAGGTGTGGTCATGAAAGGTCGACCCTATAAATGCACGCTTCATCCTTCTGATGTCCATCTTTGGCGGTAAGTTCTCAATAACTACGTAGTTAGCAAAAAGGTTACCCCAAAAGGCCGTATGTGACCATCCTCAAGCAGTTGTACCTTTGGCATTGGGGTTATGCTCCAAGGTCATCAAGACTAACTCTAATCCAATTGCCTTTTCAGGTACCTCCAGAAGAACTCTTCCACGGTGTGGGCAACTAGCACTGAGTACGAGGGCAGAACAAGAACTATTAGGATGGATCCCCGTCAACAGTCGACTATGTGCTGTCCGGCTAAATGGCTCCATTAGAACTCGGAAGGATAGGGACATACGTCGTTGCCTTTTCGTCGTTTTGCCTACGCGCTCACTGATGTAGCCCTGATGAAGTGAGAAATAGCTTTTACAGAAACCTCTCTGAACTTATTCAAAAAGCTAAGCGCTCAAATATAGTACTCGTAGTGGCTGACTTTGATGCCCAATTAGGTAGCATGAACCAAACAGAAGGACATTTAGGTGGGTATTTTAGTATTCTGGCTCTAAGGACAGATAATGGTGAGCGTATGCTGTGACTGTGCTTATATGATCGTTTATTTTTATCAAGCACTAATTTTAAGCATAAGGAGAGATATCGTCTAACATGGCTACCACCTGCACCAAACCAACGGTGGACTCAAATAGACCATGTTACCATAAGTCATCATTGGAGAGGCTCGGTAGAAGACTGTCACTCCTGCATTGCCTGGTTGGACGTCGATCATGCTGTAATACGAGTACGCATTTTCTTGCTTCTAGCTGAACGCAGA